GAACATACGATGCAACGTCGATTCGGTCATTCTCAAGCATACGTTTGCAGATTCGAGACGTATGAGTTTGATGTTATTAACCGTACAAACTCACCGTTAGCGGTCCAACGTTTATAAAACTATGGATATCTTTGAAGTCATTGCGAAAGAAATTCTGAATATTTTGCCGTTGCTCGTATAGCGCCTTCCACGTTTCGAGAGACAACAGCAGTTCCTTTCCTCGGCGAGAATCTCCAATGGCGATCTCCACGTAGCTCGGTGGACCCACGTTGATACCAATTTCGAGGAATTTGTATTCCGTAGCTGTCAGCGCGTATCGTCTGCTGAGTATACGAACCGCGCGACGATCCAACGAAATGCTGTAGAAAAAAATAATGAGATTACTTTCAAAATAATACAATTCGCAAAAAAAATATAAAAAAATATAAAGCTCTATAAATTATACAAAACTTACTTGTTTTCACACGTTGGAGTTTCAACATCGGGAATCGGCACGTAATAATTCATACGTCTGCTGCCGCTGTTGCCGCTGTTGTCGCCGTTGCTTCCTCCAACGGAATACATTTTTTCTCTCGGTTATGAGAAGCGGACCGTTCGCACAAGCAGCCGATACGAGACTAGTCGTATAAAATTAATCGAGTATACGCGACAGCACCCACTATAATCCTTCCAAAACTATGATGAAGGAGGGGAAAATTAATGTTTCTGTAACGCGCAATCAGCGCTCTGAATTTTAGGAGAAGGGACTAAGGTAGGATGTTTTTTCTTTATTAAGACGTATATCCCCTCCCTCCCCCTCTCCCCTCCGCATGACATCAACCGCGAAACATGTTCAGACATGTTCGTCTAAAACTGATACCCCATTCCCCCTCCTCGAAGCTCTCGAGTTAGAATTCGTCACGTATACCTACTTATTCTTTAATTTTGTACACTATCGACTAAAGGGAAAAGAAATAAAACATTGAAAAATTTACACATACGTATAAAATTTATTTTTTAAAAAGATGACAATTCTCTCTGGCGTCGCGACCACCAGTTAAATATTTTTAATACATTTTGCAATGCGCAATTTTTAATGTGTTTTCCACATCGCACAGTATTGGTAACATCTAGATTATTTAAAGATTCGATATCTTCGTAATCCGCATCCAGAGTCTCGATGTTTAGGTTTTTTCTCGCTTTACTCTCAAGCAGATCTACCAGCCATTCTCGTTTCTGACATCCCTTGACGTACACGAGAGTCGGCATCTCGTCGTCGTCGTCGTCGTCGTTGTCCTCTTCCTCACCGAGCACCGCTGATGTAATTAAACGCTTCACCTTGCTGTACGACACGTTTCCGTCTTCCCATCGTAATCCATGGTGATTGCGAATCAACCAGGAAGCGCACGATTTGTCGGATTTTGTGAGGAGATTCCACGGCATGGGGCATGTAAAGATGTAATGCGCCAGAATGACCCCGTTTCTCAGCACCGCCACCTCCTTCACGACAAACTTCATCCCGACGACGAAACCTTGCAGGTCGACGAACGTTGGTGCAAACATGAAGAAATATCTCTCTTTCTTCGATGCGTGAATCGAGAGGAATGACGCGCGTTTCGCGACACTCTGATTTTTATATCCTGCTCCCCTCTTTTTCCCCTCTCATAAATTTGTATCGGGAGTTAAAGAAAGAAAAAATTTTCGTCGACGTTGCCGCGAACACTCAGACTATTTTGCGCACTACGTTGGTCAACGGATTGTACTCGATCACGCGATCGTGTATGATGAGACAGTACGCAGAGGTATTCGGCGGTACGTTCTCCATGCAATCGAATTCTAGTCTGACATCCACGGTGGCGTTTTTGACGGATTCGTTTTGTCGAGAGCAATCGATGATCACGAACGGGCCGTTACGTAGAAAAGTTGAAACGGTGAGACTCGGCTCGAGATATTCGTATCCGTAATAGCC